TGAGAAATCTAGCTGAGGATAAAATAAATTCTTACACATTTTTTTAAATCTTGTTAGCATTGTAGTGGGGGACCTCAATACCCCACTGTCACAAATAGATCAACTAGGCAAAAAATCAACAAAAAAAATCAGAGTTCAACAAAACCTCAAAAAATTGAGATTCCTGGAGACACATGAATTAACAAAACTGAACCCAAGAAGATATTTAAAAAACCTTGAATAATCCAATAACAGGCAATGAAATTGAAAATAAAACCTACCAACTAAGAAAACCAAAGTCAGGATGGATTCATGGCTGAATTCTACAAAAACTTCAGGGAAGATCTACCATACTCCTCGAGTTCTTTAATGAAATTAAAATGGAAGGAGTACTCCCAAAGTGATTCCGGAAAGGTACCATTACTCTGATTCCAAAATGACACAAGGAAACAAACCAAAAAAGAGAACTACTGGTCAATCTCTTTAATGAACATAGACACAAAATTCCTCACCAAGATATTCAAACAGAATGCAACGAAATCATCAAAAGGTTCATGCATTATGACCAAGTAGGCTTCATCCCAGGGATACAAGGATGGTTCAACATAGGCAGATCAATTAGTGTAATAGATCACATAAACAGAAGCAAAGACAAAAAATTACATGATCGTCTCAATCAATGCAGAAAAAGCCCTTTGACAAACTCCAACATGCAGTCATGATTTTTTTAAAAACCTGAAGAAAATAGGTACAGATGGACCTTATCTCAATCTGAGAAAAGTATTTATGACAAACCTACTGCCAACATCACATTAACTGGGGGAAAACAGAAAACTTTCCCTTTAAAATCAGGAACAAGACAAGGATGTCCACTGTCACCATTCTTTTTTTTTTAATTAAATTCTTTTATTGGTACATTGTAGGTATACAACACAATTACATTTCTCATTGGGAATTGTATCTTTACATAATGCAACTTGGTTCTTATTTTTTCCCCATTCCTAGCCCTCCCTTCACCCCCTCCACCCTTCCCT